AAACTATCTTACAGACCTTAGAATAAGTTGTTTGAGACATACAAGGCAGGAGAAACCAAAAATATCGAAGAAATTTTTTTGTTTGTACTGAACAACTCGCCCCACGCGAGTAGAGGAACTCTGCCAACTCGCCTCACGCGATGTTTTGCCCCACGTGAGCTACCTTGTTGTAGGACCTCACACCGTGCAAGTTTCACAGAAATTGCAAATTTTTTTTTTCTTTTTTGCAATTTTTTAAAGGTATGTTCCCCAACTAGTCTTTTCCATTACTTTAATACTTTTCAAAGTAGCCTTTTAATTTGAATATCATGGAGACTAGATGCGATGATAAAGATGAAAGATTAAGACAATATGGCCAAAATGTTAGAATTTTTAGATCAACACCTGGAAATCAAACCTCCGATTTGTAGACAAGCTGGATGGTGGGAAATAGTCCCGGAACGTAACTACATGAATTTAATGAAGTCCCCTTAGGGAAATCACTACTATCAAGTTCTAGATAGCTTAGATTGAAATGGTCCTTTATTTAGAGATTATGAGGAATATTTACCAACTTTAGTAAGAGAATTTTACACAAACATAGAAATAGTCATTAGTGAAGAAAAACCAACCTTCTATGTTAGAATGAATAGGGATTTTATTCACATATCCCTGGGTATATGATAGGTCAATCTTTACGTTTACCACACACTTGGTATGAAAACAACTATTATGACATGAAAAAGTGGTATAACCTAAATGAACCGGTTTATAATGTTGAAAAATTCTCAAATATTATTACCATGTGTACAACCTAATGAGGGAGGTCTAGACACAAACCAATTTTGCAATAATCAAGCACTTGTTTTGTTATGGATGACAACCAATGTTTTTGGTTATAAGGATTTAACTAGGGTAGATGATAACATGTGTCAAATGCTTTATGAATTACATAATAATGAACCATGCTATCAAATTTTCTTTAGGTTGATAAAAACAATTCTAGATGTCATATTTTTAAATAAAATACTTTGTGTACTCCCCGTGGTTATCACTAAAATGATTAGCTTTTTCCTACTAGAATGGTTATATGGCTATAATGATTGGATTTATATTATACCCATGAGTCCTTTAAACCATGTTTTGAGAATATCGAGACCTATAAGCTATTTTCCTGGAATTATGCATAAATGAATACTTAGATGTATCACCTTACCACAAGCCCTGAAAGATGACCAAGTCCTATTGTCTAATCTATTCGATGAAATAAAATAATTTTGGATATTTATGTTTGACCATGTTGACATGGAAGATGGCATTGAAGTTGACCATAATGGGGATGCACTGGTCCTACCAAGGTTTGAATGCAACCCAATTATGTAAGTAACTTTGTAATAAAAAAGGGTGATTTCCTATGACATTTTGTTTGGTATGATCCATCTGAGGATGAATTGGGAGATAGTGATGAAATAAACTCTCCAATGGGGAGGGAGTAGCATCACTGACTCAGATTGGAGTATTTGCAACATAGAAGGTTGGTTTTTCTTATATTCTTTGCATGCGTACATATCTTATATTCTTTCTCACAATGGCTTTATCTTTTGTAGGTAATAGCCAATTGCACACACACACGTGCATATCATACATTTTGTATACACTTGTTTGCACACAAGCACGAGTTAGAATTTACACATCTCTATGGCTACTTGGCCCGAAATACCAAGAGAAATCCGTGATGACATTCTTGAAAATGTAGCTAGAGCTAAAACGACATCATGTCCCTGGACTTTAATGAGATTCTCTCATTGAATCTTTACCTGTGGGTATCGAGAGCTAGAATTTTGGCTTCATATTGATAAATAATTGATAAGTACTCAGAAGTGTATTTATTAACCCTAAAACCATGTTGTTTTTATCCTAAGTCATGATATAAAGTGATATGATATGCTTGGCTTTGTTAGAAATACGTGTTTGTAGGTTCGTTTCTCTATGAAAAGCTTAAAGGAATGAAAAAACAACCGAAAAATAGTTTTAACTAGCTAACTTTGAGCAATTAAACGAAGATGTTACAAAACTCTGATTTAAAAAGCTTAAGTATGCATTCGAAAGCTCTCTTTACATACTTCAAGATGGCTAAGATATATTCCATAAAATAGATCAACAACCAGTTCAAAAAGAGGCTCCAAAACCTGTCAGATCGTAGATTTTATTGGATGTCCATGGGCAGTTTGGTAATCACACTTCCACATGGATTTTTGTCCCAAGCCCAATTGAAGTCTCTTCCACGTGCATTAAGAGTATTCCCTGAAAAGTTTTAAGTCTAAAAGCTATCTACAAGTGGTGTAATCAAATACAAACTCCTTTTTAGCAATAACTAGCTAGGTATTTTAGGGTTTGTAGACTCCTATCTATATAAGGAGAGGTTGTCCACGAATTTTAATATGCTTTAATCTTAATTGAAGTATCAACTTAGTTTTAGGGTTAGCTTAGATAGAAGAAGAAGTTCTTATGGTTTTATGTTAGTTTTGTTAACTTTTCTTATAGTAATTCAATATATTCTTTCGTATTTCGGTTCATTCAAATATTAGTTATTGCTGTTGTTTCAACATGATTTCATCATCTTCATCACGTTCCATGTCTAGCTAATTCATCATTGGGGTGTAGATGGAAGCCTTCTAGGAAAGTAATGATTATTTAAGTGAATTTCAGTTTTCTCATGCGTGAAAGGTAATTATTTTAGGATTTGCCATCTTAATTTAGTTTTTACTTGTTGTGATTTATTAATAATAAGAAAGGAGATATCTTTTCACATATTCAAGACTTTTCTTAAACCTCATGTGCTTTAGTTAATTTGTTTTGGCCTCGAGAGAGAAAAAATAGGTTAATTATATATCTTTAGTTTAAAGGTGTGAAATTTTACTTGTCATCGACGGTATCGAGATAAGAGGTTGAGGGTCATTATTTCATATATTGAGGCTCTTAGGAATTGTTAGAAGAATTCTCCGCAAAGACTTTGGTATTTCTTAAGGTGGATGAGTTTCGGCATCAAGACGAGAGGGAACTCACTACTAACTATGGCATAAAGATAGAGATAGTTGGATATGCATGAAAACCGAAGTTCTCGGAAAATAATCTTACTTGTTTAGAATGGTAGAAATCGATACTCTAATTCCATCCATATATCAAAACATTTTGTTAATTGTTTTCAAGTTTAATTTAATTTACTTATTTTCCTATTCAATTTAGTTTAGTTATTCTTGATGTCATTACTTTATATTTTATTCAAAAATATATTCAAAACATCGACATTCATATTCCCATTCATAAACGACATCTTGATTACTCTATTGAATCTCATATCGATAGTTAAGTCACCCAATCCTTTGAAAGAGTAGATTGATACCCTAGACTTACCTCTACACTAGTTTTTGAATTAGTTTAGTTGTTAGAATCATAAAGGGAGATTATTTGACCCGTACGGTTGAATTCACGTTTTGCCGTACATCAAATTGATACCGTTGCCGCTTTAAGGAGAACCAAGGTGACGTCGTTGTGAGAAGCATAAGAGTAGTCAAAGCATACCCACGATTTCACCCACCCTTAGTTTT